AGGGCCCAGGGGGGATCCTCACACAGAAGGGGACTGAAAGGCCACACAGCAGGCAGCACCTGGAGCTGGGATCAGGTCTAACCCACCCTGCTCAGGACTACAATCCTCTCAGAAAGGAAGTGAGAAGCAGCCCCATGCAGGACAGACGTGGCAGCTAATATGGGGCACGTAGCTATACCTTGCTGAGCCCCAGTCTTCCTCTGCACAATGAGAACAACAGCATGAGGCGAGAGTCTGGGCCTGGCACTGCCTCTCTTGGGGTCCCACGTCTGCATTGAGCTCCCCGCACCCTTTGTCTCGGCTATACCCCCTCATTCCGCCAAAAGTTTGGCCTGAAACAGCCCTCGCCCCCTTCAGCAGAACCTACTTTTCTCTAGTCCTGACCTGGTGCACAGTGAACCTGCCTGGGGGCCTGTCCTCAAGGTCCAGGGTTGCCTGGGGGCCTGTCCTCAAGGTCCAGGGTTGCCCATCCTCTTTACTCCCAAAGCTCTTTCCCAGTGCACGGTCGGGCACCCAAGGAGCCCAAGTTGGAAGATTTGTGAGAGATGGGCGCCCTCTGGTGGCCATAGAGGAGCTGCAGGGGGCTCCCGTGGGTTCTGCTCAGTCCAGGAGAGTCCTTTAGTGGGCCGCACCCCAGGGTCAGCCTCAGCCACCACTACTCCCCACAACAAGACCTTTTTCCCTCTGTATTGCTGGAACTGCAGTAGACATGACAGTCAGCAGTCACTTCCCAGGCCTTCCCTCTGGGAAGCTGATGGCCCAATCCAGGGACCCCCGGTCCTTCTTTCCCTGGGACAGCCCAGGCCTCCCCAGAGCTGAGGCCAGGCTGGGCTCCACCGAGGTCACTGGCCATCCCTGGGCCTTGCCCCCGGGGCTCCTCTTACTTCGCCCCATTCAATTGCTGGGCGTGCACGGCGTCCTCCTTGGGCAGGCCCACCTCTTAGTCATCTCTGGACCCCGTCGCGGGACTCCTCACAGCCTTGGCATCAAATGGATCCCCATATATTAGGTGGGTGGGCTTCTAATTTCCCGCTGTGCTTTGGGGCCTGCCGAAACCACAACAAACATGGGCTTTTTTGCTTTTATTAAAGATTTAATTAATTTATTTTTAGAGAGAGGGGCAGGGAGAGAGAGAAACATCCATGTGTGAGAGAGACAGGGATCTGCTGCCTCTCGCTGGCCCCCAGCTGGGGGGCCTGTGCTCCGACCGGGAGCCAAACCCGTGGCCTGCAGGTTCACAGGCCGGCGCTCAGCCCACTGGGCCACCCCACCCTGAGCGAACACGGGCATTTTTCAGATGCGGCATTCCCAGTGGTCAGAGGCCGAGGTCTTCCTCAGTGCGTGATTGTGCACCTCCTCCCAAATCCACAACTGAGGTCCCGGAATTCTTTTTACTTTTCTTTCCTTTTTTTTTTTAATGTTGGTTATACCTAGAATGTGTCTATTTAAGCTTTTTTTTTTTAAGATTTATTTATTTTTTTTTAGAGAGGGGAAGGGAGGGGGAGAGAGAGAGAGAGAGAGAGAGAGAGAGAGAGAGAGAGAGAGAGAGACATTAATGTGTGGTTGCCTCTCATGTGGCCTGCAACCCAGGCATGTGCCCGGACTGAGAATCGAACCTGCGATGCTTTGGTTCGCAGCCCGAGCTCAATCCACTGAGCTACGGCAGCCAGGGCAGGTCCCGGAATTCTGTGCCACGGCGATGCCGTTTGGGCCTGGGAAGGTTTGAGGATCACGATGGTCCTAACACCAATTCAGTCTCATAAAGAGTCTACTTTTAAGTGAATGTAAACCCTCCAAGAAAAACTGGTTCTGACCTTAGCCTAATTGTACCAAAGGAATTGCAGCTTGTTGCTGAGTATCAGCCAATTAAAAGTTGGCAGACGTCTGCAGGGAGAGATGATCTGCATTCCAGTCCTTACCCAGGGCCGGCCCCGCGTGCATGATATGTATAGCCGACAGTGGACCACGAGAGAAAATAAATGACCGTTATCAACTTCTGTAATAACATAAAACAGCAACATAAAACCCCAAGTTCTCTACCTGGTTAGAACTGACCGATCACGTACAGCACCGTCATACAGGGGCGCCCTGCGCACCACGAGATGTTCAGACAGCACACTGTTTAGCTCAAGTGCACATACATTAGCCCCAAATGAAAGTAATAATTATAATGCAAGTTAAAAACTCGAGTGACAGTAATTTTGCTTATTCTTTTATAATCGAGAAGAGCTACTTGGGGGATGGTTTGAATAAACTAAGTCACTTAAAAAGCCATTCTAAGAAACCTAAGTAAATGTCTCTCTTCTTTGAATATATTTCCTGTAATAAGGACAGGAATTCAAAAGTACTCTGTGGAGCCAAGAGCTGCTGAGAGTTCAGAAGTGGGTGGTCAGTACCTGCTGGTTGTGGCCAGAGATGGTGATGTATGTTTCTAACCCTCTGAAAGGCGTAGTTTAAAACCAAGGGCTCACTGGGGGTCCCTAAATGTTCTGTTCACTATATCCTTCGTGTCTCTGTAATTATTTCAGTTGCTAATTACTTAGGCCAAATAACTAACTAATAATTCCCTTCATTAACTAGTTAGGAGCAAGTGACTAAGTATTTATGTCCTAACAGTGGCAGCCATGTTATTTTTGGGGGAAAAAAAGCCATCTAAATTGAGAGAAAAAATATTTTTATTTCACTTATAATCACAATGACCTCCTAATGGGGTGTGTGCTGAGCACAGCACAGCTGTTCAGACCTTGGGATCAGATTGTACCCCACCTCCCTCCTTTCCTGTTCACGCCGATGTTTGAAGAGTACTTGCTTCTTGTCACCAAGACCTTCAAACACCTGGTTTTCCAAAGATTCCTCACCAAATGAATGTAGTGCATTCTACTGTTGAAACTGAGCCCTGGCTGGTGTGGCTCAGTAGGCTGAGTGCCAGGGCCTGAGAAGCAAAGGGTCGCTGGTTCGATTCCCAGTTAGGGCACATGCCTGGGTTGCGGGCCAGGTCTCCAGTTGGGGGCACACGAGAGGCAACCACACACTGATGCTTCTCTCCCTCTCTTTCTCCCTCCCTTCCCCTCTAAAAATAAACAAAATCTTTTAAAAAATTGAACTACTTTGAGCTAATAGTTTAAGCAGTGTGACACGGCTGTCCTGTATCCTATATTTCCTTTGAAGACTGTAAGATCCTACAGCCCCCCTGTAGCTTTGCTGCAGAGCCTTGGGGTGCCTTGACGGACAGTTTGGGAACCGCATGTACTCTCCAGATCCCTGCTTCTCCCTCCACTCCATTCCACCCCACAGTCTATTCAAAGCTGGAGCCAAAGCCACTCAGTTTCAGACCAGATGAAAGCACCAGAAAGAACTGAGCCAGAGGACGTCCTCGCTCTGAGAACCATTACGACGGGGCATTCTGAAAGTCACAAAACAATGACCAGGTCACTAAGACAGAAGCTCTAAAAATAAACCTGACAATACAGAGGCCTTGGCCAGCAGAGGTGCATCTTGGGGCTCTCTCTGGTGGGGGGGGCGAATCAGAAGGGAAGGGCCTGCGGAGGGGGCGGTGGGCACAGAGGACGGTGGGGGGCGTGTTTACAAAGCTGAGTCACTACTGCATCGTGGGGCAGCTCCTCCTCCGGCCCTCTCTGAAGTTCTCATCCCTCCCCTGTCCCTGGGCAGAGGTTCCCATCAGCCCTCTCACCCAAGGCTGGGGGGCAAAGGACAGCAAGGACATCACGTCTTTGTCCTGCTTCCTCCTCCTTTCTCTTCTCTGTCCCACCCCAGGCTGGAAGGGGCTGGCCTTTCCCACCACACCCTGGGTTCTTTGTGGAAAACCAGACAATCAAGTGTACACACCTGGTTCGTGCTTTAGAAAAAAAATTTTTTAATGTATTGATTTGCAGGAGTGAAGAGAGAGAGAGAGAGAGAGAGAGAGAGAGAGACGGAGAGATATTACCCTGTTGTTCCACTTACTGACACATTTATTGGTTGATTCTTGTATGTGCCCTGATGGAGGGCCGAACCTGCAACCCTGGTGTATCAGAACAACACTCGAACCAGATGAGCTACCCAGCCAGGGCCTGGTTCTTGCGTTCTTGACGATAGTTTAAAAGATTTAAAACATCTTTTCCAGTAGGGCCTGGACTTCCAGGCTGCCGGCTTGCTGGGGACTGGCCAGCCCTGCTTTGGTGGTCAACAGCTGAACGCTGACATCTTCCCGCCTCTTCACCCGCTCCCTCCAGACTGATGCCGCCACTGCCCGCCCTGCCCGCTGCGGAGCACCGGCTGCTGTCTGAAATGATCCGCTTGCCGTCTCCTCTCGCTAGAATCTGATGGAAGGGCATCCGTCTCCTCCAGGAAATACCTCCTGTCCTCTGGCCTCGAGTCTTGCTACTGTGGAAACCAAAAACTCTTCATGGTTGGTATTTTGTAAAGGACAGGGAAGGCTCCTTGTAGCTCTGAGGCAAGTTCCTAAAAGAAGGATCCTTTCAAGTTTCCTCTCTTACCTCAGACTTGAAAGCACCACAGACATAATCATCACTTCTCCCCCGAACGGGCCCCGCTGCTGTGGTTTATAGAGCCTCCCAGCGTCCCAGCCCCTCCCGGGTGCTTCCTCGGGTTCCCCAGTCAACCTCTGGGGCAGCTTCCCTTCATTTGGTAACTTACTCCGTCGCTTAGGAATGAGAGTCTCTACCAACTTAGAATGTCTACCCTTTCTGGAAACCTCTCGTCTCAAGCAAACGAGCACTATAAAGGAATGGAGAGAGTTAAAGACAGCAGCAAAGCGACCGGTGGAGGACGTGTGTATGTTGTGAAAGCGACCACTAAGGGTCCTGTCTGAGAGGCGAGGCTGAGGCTGCAGGCTGTGTCCGGCGAGTGTTACACTCTCGGGAAGCTCACGCCGACGCGCCCCGGAGCCGGGAGCCCCGCGCACGTCTTTTTCTCGTCGCGGCCCCGGGTCCGCGGCCCCGAGAAAGGAGAGATGAGAGCAGCACCCAGTTAAAGACTGTAGGAATAGTTTAATTCGTATGTCTCAATTCATTACATAATAATATCACAGTCTATTTTACAAGTTAAATGTATGAGAATGTATGAAATAGAAACGGTAGGAAAAGACTAAACGTGGGTCAAGAACAGGAGTTTTCCAAAGCCGGGGCCGGAGGGAGCTGTGTCTCCGGCAGGACCCGAGGAGGAGGAGGAGGAGGAGGCGGCGGGGAGGCGGCGGGAGGAGCGCCGCCCGGTGTGTGTCCGTCCCGCGTTTCCCCTGGGATGGGGTCGGGGCGCGCTCTCTGCCCTGGTCTGAGGTGGGGAGTTGAGTCCGGTCAGCGGGGCTGGCAGCTTGAGGGAAGAAAGCCATCTGGTTACCCACGCAGAGCTGGTCCCCTGGCGGCCGCAGGCAGGTTTTGTCGTGGAGGGAATCGGGGTGGAAGTGTCAAAATTAAATGTGTGGAGGAAAAAAGTAAACGGTTTCCTCCTTCCCCCCCAAAACGCAAACTCTTGAAATGCACGTACATTCTTCTCTCAAACGTAGAACAGTCTCACTCTGGATGTGCTTACGAGAAGATCGTCGTCGAAAAACTTTGTCTCTATGATCACGTTCCCACTGCGGGCAAGAAGGGGAGGCAAGACGGCTGCGTTAGGCGACAGGTTTCGTTTCTGCCAAATGGTTTCAACCTGGGCCCGTGGACACACACCCACCCAGAACCTTGGCCTGTGGACATTAAAATCTGTGTCTGTAATGTGGTTAGAAGCCTAATATGACATTTAGCTTGTGTGACTACGTTTGTCTTTCTTGGGTTCGGACGGAGGTCAGAAGAGAGAGCACGTCTTAATCCTCGGTACACGTAAGGTCCTTGGTCGAGTGCTCTGCACACGCGGTGCTTACACACACGACTGGCTTTCTGATGACCGTGCAACCCGCAGGCCGCAGGGCGGCATTTCCCCTGCACACCGCTGTTCTCCTCACTTGGGGTAATGCACTCTGCTCTTCTTTTGGGGAACCACCCGTCTCCAGTCCACGGGTCGGTCAGGTGGCCCCGACCTCACCGGCAAAGGGGTGGGCACGGGATGTAATATGGGCCGACGGGACTCTCTTCCCTAAGCAGGACCCTTCCCTGCGGCTGCTCCTCGAGGGAACCGTGCACAGGTTCCTGCCACCTGCATCTTGCGAGCCGCCCAGAGCTCAGCCCTCTCGGCTCCGGCGCGTTAGCCGGGGCCGGTTTCTACGGCGTGCAACCAAAGGGCCCCAAACGGTACACCTGTGCTGGGCAGAGTAGAACTGCATTTTTCTTGGTGGGTCTCTCAGTGTTTCAAAACCAAACCATTTTTGAACCGGGTGAAGGGCAACAGAGGTGCTGTCTTTGGGTTCTAAGCACTAATATGACTTCAGCAACCTCAATTACGTTACCGTAGACTTACTGGTTTTAATATCTGAAAAGAAGTCAGGCCTGGCCAAGGAGTCAAATTATGCTTAATAGAATATAAAAAATGCCTTCTACATACGACACTGTACTTTCCCGGAGTAATTAATAGCCAGCAGATACATTTTTGCTGGTAATTAATTTAAAAATAGGTAAATAAGGAATTTAAGATCTGAATGGCTTATAGAATATAAAACACTATTGTAGTTAAAAATCTACTGAAGATTTATAAGTAATCTCTACTTGGAAATTCAACGTGGCTCCCACGAAGGACCTGGTTAGAGAGATGACCCAACACCACACAGTGATGGTCTGTGTGAACACGTCATTACTGGGTACTATCACTACAACTTCTGAAAGACTAGTATCTGTTCCTGAGAGAAGACGGGTGGGCAGTTATTGACAGTGTTTTTGGACAAGTGACCAACTAATAATTCTCTGGGCTAGAAGCACTGCTATTAAAATGGTAAGCTAGTCTCTGAAAAACTGCAACCAAATATTACCCTCTAAAACAGAATGGGGACTTTGCCAGGTTCTGTTCAAGGCCGTGTAAACACAGTACAGAGCACGAGAAGTCTGGTGATCGGGAGAGGGGGAAGTCAGCATGGATGTAACACAGTATACGCCAGCGTCCTTCCATGTCACCTCACTTCATTCTCACTGCACCTCTGTGAGAGAGAACGATCCATTCTGTGTTTAGAGAGGAGAAAAATAAGGCCCAGAGAGGTCAAGTAGATTGTCCGAGATGACACAGCTCGTCAGGGGTAATCAGGAATTTAGTCTAAAGGCCTAGTCTAAAGTTGTATGTCCTTTCCATTCCATCACACTTTTCATTTGACAGAAGTCAGTCAGTGGTAAACTTGGACACCCCAGGGTACTCTTTTTTACCCTCGTTTTCAGTGTGGGCTGCCGCCTGCCTGCCGACCAGGGCCACGAATCCCACCGCCTGGAACGCCCGCTCCCAGAAACACCCCCCAATCCTGCGGCCTGCGCACTCACGTTAGCACGCTGGCGGGCATCATCTGGGACTCAGGCGCCGCTTCTATCAGGGACTGCCAGGTGTTTGTGGAGTTGGGGATCACAAAGCCGAACTCGAAGAACCACTCTGGGGGAAGGAGGAGAAGCAGGTCAGTGGGCATCCCAGACACTGTCCCCGGGCTCCTCGTCCCCCTCCTCTAGAGCGGGCCTCTTTTCACCCCCAGAACCACCGATGGGGCCAGCAGAACCCTCCCAGGGCTGAGGCATGAAAGAGGACCCCTCTGAGCTTGTCCCCTGAGCCACACCAGAGGCCCGTTCCCTGTGCTCTGCGGTCCAACGGACGAGGGCCAGTGGGCTCGTGGAGTGGACGCAGAGTTTTCTGCAGAGGCTGGGTGTCAATTATACACAAACACAGAACGGGCCTTTTCACTTGCAGTTTGAGCTCTAGGACACACATGTGCACTCTTACACTTGACGGAGACAACTCAGTGCCGAGCGGCCTGCCACTCAGATCTGTGTGAGACCATGGGGAGCACGGTGCCAGGCCCCGACCAGCAGCTTCCCGTGACCGTGTTCCAACACCACGTCAGCGACACAGCAGGCGCTGGCCTCAGGCCCACAGCGTCAGAAACCCTTTTGTTGGGCTCAGAGCCCCTGCTAGTGACAACTTTGTTCTGACTGGTTCTCACCGGGGTCCCCGATATTGCAGTATGTAGGAATCCTGTCACAACCTGAGCTGTAAAACGAATGTCACCACAACAGTGCTTTATAGTTTGCTGGTCTCGCCCTTTGCCCCGGTCACCCTGAGCCTGGGTTCCAGGCGTGGAATACCTTCTAGGCATTGCCCTTTGAAGTAAACTTTTTGTTCCAGGCGGAATTTTTCCATCTGCTCTGCTGAAGAGAAGTTCAGTTCTCGGGATACTGCCTTGCACTTGAGAATTTTCTTGGGAACACGGGCTGGCAAAGAAAAAGAAGTATTGAAGCCAGTCTCAATGAAAAACCACGTGACTACGGTGCTTCGAGTTTCTTGAAGCTGATCTAGAAAACCCATCGTCTGTGTTAAGTTTTAGAGAACGCCTTAGTAACAGAACTGCGCTTTTCAATTAAGGAAGTGCCCAGCTGGTCAGGTGTGTGTGACTGGAAGCTCAAGGAGCATCAGCTTTAGTGCATTTAAGGGCCTTACCCAGCTGCTCTCATCAGGGAGGGGCTGAGTGGGCCCCTTCCCTCTACTGTGTTGTACTGGTTGTAACCCCTTAGTTTTTCTTTTATTTCAGGGAAATAAAAATGCAAATTTTATTTTGGAAAAAAAAGTTGAGATCTTTGGGTATATTCTACTGCTAAAATTTTAACAGAAGTGGGTTTGGGAAAGTGGGAGACAGAAACTTAAGACACGAGAAATCTCGGTAACACACGTGGATTGACCTGCTGAGCCGCCAGGACTCACCCCCTTGTTAGGTCTGCATTAACTTGCCTCCCCGACACTTAGGCCCTGTCCCCCCCACACATCACAGCCCTGGGGGACACAGGGCTGGAGAGTACCTTCATGCTCCACTCCGGGGACGGACAGGTCTTCCGTTCCTTGCCAGAGTATCTTCCCTGTCTCAGCATCCCGGAGGTTCATCCAGTTTCTGGTCAGATACGTTGAGGAAAGTAAGACACTGAAAGTGACTCCTACTTTGTCCTTCACCTAACTGCAAGTGCCATGTAAGCAAGTAAGGATGTGGGAGAGTCCGTAAGACATTGAAAGGAAGAAGCATGACACCCAGAGGAGACATTTTTATCTACAACATAAGAACCCAAGGCCTGTACACATCTGGAAAGAGGTGGAAAGTGAATGGTGCAAATTTAAATTTTCCAACGGAATAGGACCAGCTAAGATAAAAGACCTAAGGCAGTAGGCATGGGAAGCATCCCAGAGAATGACTCAGGCCAATCACTGTACAGTGAAGATCACAGTCGGTAAGTTTTACTTGCAAGTCCAGAGCTCTAGCAGCTTTTCAGCGGCCTGCTCTCAAATATGAGAAGACAGCTAAGCACCACCAGCAACCCAGGAAAGCATCTACTATGAACGACAGGCCAAAACAAAGAGAAAAAAGCAATGTAAAGGATAAAAGAGACTACAGAGGAAGATACAAATTTTTAAAAAGGAGCATTAAAAACAAACAGTGAAAACCACCCCAGACAACATAACCTGTACACACACTAAACATTATATACTGCCCTGGCTGGTGTGGCCCAGGGGACTGAGCACCGGCCTGCTACCAAAGGTCCGATTCCCAGTCAGGGCACGTGCCTGGGTCGCAGGCCAGGTCCCCAGTAGGGGGCACCCAAGAGGCAACCACACATTGATGTTTCTCTCCCTCTCTTTCTCCCTCCCTTCCTCGCTTTCTAAAAATAAAATAAATAAAATCCTTTAAAAATAAAAAAAATGTATATACAATTGAATTTTGTATAATTTTGGTGATTTTCTCTGGCTCAAGATTACAACTTTTGAGGCTGGTCAATTGATAGTTTCTTTCAGTCAGAAAACACCTTCTAATATAAGTAATCGTATTTTCTAGCTTCTGTACTGTTCATCAAACAATAAATGAGTCAATAATACCAATTAAAAAAAAGAATGCTCAGAGAACAAAAAGGAAGTCTAGAAAATATACCTCTTGATAGCAGAACCAAACAACTCAAAGCAAAGGTTGGAAAACAAAGCTGAAGAACTCTTTCAGAAAGAAAAAGACAGCAAGGATAGGAAGCAGGACATTAAAGATACAAAAAGCTCACACTAGTCCAAGAGGTCGACATCTAACTAATAGAAGTTTTGTTACAGGGTGCAGCCAAGAGGGGGGACCTCAAATGGGCATTTGAAATGGGGTCCAGAACTCAAGGTGTCTAGGAGATTTTAAGATATCTTCACCCCTTCCCCCACAGGTGAGAGTTGGGGGAAGGGGCACACGGAGCAAGAACACGCAGGGCTATTTTGTACAGCAACAGCTTTGCAGCTAACCCATGGCATGGTCATTTAACATACCTATAGCCTTCGGCTGGTCACTTAGATATGCTAAATAGCTGTGGCCATGCTCTGGGCCAGGGGGATGGAAAGGGACTCTCCCACCCAAGATGTGAATGGGGGGGCAGGTCCTTCTAGTAACAGCGCCTGCGTGGGAGCTCGGAGAAGATTGGCTCCATGACAAGGGGCCACACCTGCTCAAACCCACGATGGCAGCCAGAAAAGCTGGAAAGGATGGGAGATTGACGGCAAGTGTGGCTGAGTGTGGGAGGAGTTGGAAATGGGGCTGCAGAGGAAGATTGGCGCAGGGATTTAAACCCAGACGCGGCAGCCATTGGAGGGAGAACCATGCGGTTTTGGCTGAGTGGGGACTCCTGTGGCCTGGGGGAGAGAGGACCACGTGCCTTTGCCAGAATGGGGACCCCCGCAGCTTTAGAAGGCGGAACCACCACCCGGCTTTAGCAGAGATCCCGGCGACACAGCTGAGGGTGCCGGGAACCAAGGGAGGTCTCCCAGCCAAGACGGATTACTGGGAAGAACCGGGGGCTGCCTGAACCAAGGACTTCTATTTCCTTTCCTGAGATACGGTACCCCACACTGGGCAAAGGCGGAAGGAAGGACTGTGTCTGTTTGTGGATGTTTTAAGGGACTTTAAGATTTTGATGAAGACATTAGGTCACTACTTTAAGTTTGTATAGCATTAAATAAACATTTATTTTCCTTTTCACGAATCTCTGGCATTGAGGACATCTTTCCTATAGGTGGCGGACATAATGGACCTGGGGGTTCCTTTCAGTAATAGTGTATCGTCCCAGGTCCCCCTTGTTGTTCGGTAACAGTTTGAGAAGGAACAGAAAAAACAAAAGAGAAGAAATCATCAATGAATTAATTCAAGAAAACTTCCCATATTAAAAGGGTTGAACAAGTGTCCAAGTCACATTGTTGTGAACTTGCAGAATGTCAAGGTTAAAGAGAAGCTCTCAGAGAGAAAACAAATTGTCACATGAACAGTCAACATCAGAATGGGAAAAAAAATTTAGAATGAAACAGATTGTTCAACGGTAACTCTGGAAGATAGAAAAAACATGGAGCAGTGCCTTTGAAATTCTCGGGGAAATGATTCCTAAAACTGAAAAAAAAAATTACTTTCTCAAGAAACCAACGGTAATATGCTCCTTCAAAAACAACATGGAACAGGCTGGAAGGGAGAGAGAAAGCCCGGACAACTGAGGACCGGAAAAAAAAAAAAAAAAAAAAGACAGGGACCACCAAGGAAGGGGATGACACTGGATCTAGAAAACAAGGGACCTACAGTAAGAGACAGGTGACAATGTCCCTGCAGTGACAGTGAAGGAGAGACCCCAGAGTTAACAGCTCTTTAGCAGGCCTGGAGGGTGCCTGGGGGTCCAGACATAAGCAGGTCAGAATGCTCAGGGATTTTCTCTTAAGACGATGAAGTTCATAGAATGTATTTACATGGAAAGTAGAATTATACAATTAGGGGAGATGTGAGGATTACAGCACATTAGTGAGAAGTATGGAAAACCTAAGCAAATGAATAAAAAAACAAGAAACAAGACGATTCTCAACATCAGGGACGAGACGAGCGAAGGCGGCACCGGGAGCGAGCGGCAGCCACAGCAGGCTGCACGGCCCCCCGCAGGCGGGGCGCGCAGACTCACAGCAACAGAAGCGCGGGCTGCGGGGCCAGGGCAACCACCCCAGGGGGCTGCGGGGAGAAGGGTGCGCCTGTGTGGTCAGGTGTAAAGTGCAGAGAGAGAATAAAACCACTTTCCATAGTGGCAGGTCAATAAATAATGCCTAAAGTGTAAACATTAAGACAGAGTCGGAGTGTGCTATTAAGAAATATCAAGAAAAGCACCAAGTAAATCAGCTAGAAAGCACTGAAAACAATTTGCTCTGGGGAGTAGGAAACAGGAGGGGGAGGACATGCTCTTCATCAGAAACTGGGTAGGGCAATGCACACACCCAACTTTGATAAAAATATAGATCAAACGGAAAAACACCCAAGTTTTATTGCTTATTTTTAAAAACAATAGACAAATCATCGAAGGAAAAGAAAATTAACATTAACTATGCATGGAGGCTCAGTATGAGAAAGATGATTACCATCTGTGAAGAGACTGAGCTTCAGATAAATAGTTGATATAGCTTACGTCTTCCTTTCCTTTTTCCTTCCCCTTCCCCTCCCTCCCCCTCCCTCCCCCTCCCTCCCCTCCTCCCTCCCCTCCCCTCCCTCCCCCTCCCCCTCCCCTCCCCCTTCCCTTCCCCTCTTCCCTTCCCTCTTCCCTTTCTTTCTTTTTTTTTGCTATCTGGCAAACAAACCCTCTTCCCAACAGTACCCTGAGGTCTCCATTGCCCAATGGGAGGCAGTGACTACTTTGCACTATAGCAGCTGGAAGATCCAGAACATTCTTTCCTGGTCCTGGTGCAGCTAGAGGCAAGCACATGACCTAGGCTTGGACACCTGGGTTCCTAGTTCCAGGCCCGTGAAACCGCAGTCACACAGGACTTGAGGAAAAGAAAAGTCAGCAGTTCTTCAGGGTGGGCAGCAGCTGGTGCCGCCCTGACCTTTCCCACAGTGTGGCCACGGCTGTGGGCCCTGGTCCTCCACTGCCAGGCAGTTTTCAAAGCCCCAGGAGAGCCCTGAACAACAGTTTTTCAGAATCATTATGTGTGCAATGGTGCTGCTCTTAACCCCCTGGAGAGATGCTTCCTACGTTTTGCTGCTATATAGGAAAAGTCACAGAAGACAACCCAAGGTTATCCAGTAGCGTGCCTTCCATGTGACGGGTGCACTAGCTTCCCGTGCCCTCACCCTGCTTGTGCGCCCCTGCGCAGACCTCCCGCTGCTCTGGAGTCTCGCTGGCTGTGCTACTCTTGGGCCGGTTTTGCACAATCCTAACAAACCCTCCTTCTGCGCTCGTGGCATCGCCAGGGACTGCTGCTCTTCCGCACCTGGGTGGTTTTCTCTCCTCGGCTTCGTATTTCTAAACTCCACTTAAAAATAAAAAGCTCAATTCAAAAGCGAGTCAAAAGTATACATACTTGCTTAGGTCATGTCTTACAATTCTAATTACTATAAATATTCTTACCCATCCTGGGGTCTCCATGTTAAGAGAAAGCTTCCCCACCTGGAGAAATAAAACAATAGAGGCTGCTGCTTGAGCAAGGCTACTCTGAGCTCAGGTCTAGACAGAGTGGCCTTAGACACAGAAGCCCAAGCTTTTCAGAAGGCACAATATTCATTCAACCTCTCTCTACAGACGTCTTTGACGCACCGACACAGACGCAACGGACACCAGACTTTTTAAAACAAAGCTAAAGTTACTTCTGAAGCTCCAGGCTCACATTCGAGTGGGGCGTTCTAGCAAAACTACTGCGATAACAGCCGTGGAGAAGGGGCTCCCCTCACAGAGCCACAGCTGGACGAGACACAGCAGCTGCCAGAGGGGCATTACTGCCGCCGGGCCAGGTCAGAGAGAAGAGCCTCAGTAAGTAAGTGAGAATCAGAGAAATGAAAACACGGCTCCATTCAATGACGACGGGACGGAGGCTACTTAGAGCCCATCCCAGTTCCATAATTTTAGGGGTGAAAAGGAATGC